TTCTGGTACTTTAACTGGATTAATTATCATATACACCCTTCATATATTTTCAATCTAGCTCAAATCTAGGTGAGCTTTGGTCACTCTGGTAAGTTTAGGCCACAGATAAGTTACTAGGTACATTTAGTTTCTAGGTTTTTTTAGCTATATATCTGAGTTCTTATTTTTAGCACTAGGTTTAAAATATAAAACCTTTTTCAATCATGTAAAAAGTTTTCATTAAGTTTAATAAAGATAAAAGCAAGGTCTTATCTTAAATATTAAAAAAAAAAAAAATTTCTTTAAATCATATACAAGCCTGATTTAGATTTGATAATATATTGTTTATATATTTGTTTTACCCCAATTCCAAATATAAAAATATTATCCGAATTGGCAATTAAATGTGATTGATCTATTAAAAAAATAACAAATAACTTAGAGAGGTTTAAAGTGAAAAAACTTTGAGAAGAAAAGTACAATGATATACAATGATATACATAGTATTCAAATTATTTTTAATTTTGAACTTTAGACAAAAATATAACAATGACAAGTTATATATATATATATTTGTTTTAATTCTATAGATTCATAAAATTAAAATAAAACAAAATTTATTTTTATTAAACAAGAAATGTCTCTTGAGGAAAAAATCCTCCTTGGATACAACACTACTTTAGAAACTTCACAGAATTTGAATACTAGTAAAGACTCCAAAGCAATTCCAATGATGGCGAGCGTTACAGATCCCAAGATAGTAAAATCTCAACACAATGAACCTGTATTAGCCAAAGACCATAGTATTACACGTAAAAGAAACTTTTCAGATTATGAAATGAATGAACATATAGCCGAAAGCAATCTCGAGATTAAAATAAATGCCTTAGTCAATAGTGAGTATAGCACTATAGACTATGGGCTCGAAGAAAAAATTGCTGAAGGATTATTTAACAGTAAAGAGCCAGAAATCAAGAGACATAACAAAAGATCTAAAGCTATGAGAATATCTATAACTCAGCATGGGCGCCAAAAGAGAAATTTGGCACCAAAAAGAATATAGTCAAGTCACAATATCTGTTCACAATATGAGACATCCCAAAAAAAATGAGCAGAAATAAAATCAAGAACTATTTAGAATTTTTTGGCTCAGTGACAATTATGGCTTGGCAATATCTTTGCTATGAAAGCAGCATACATTAAAATAGTGTGCAATATAGAAAGCCAAGAGAGCACTTTAAGAGAGAGTTGGTCAGTTTAGTTAAATCAGGGCAGGACATACAGAACAATACCAGGCAAATTCAACCATATTGCGCTCGAAGATAGAAACAGATTTAAAAGCATAATTTATAACATCTCAAGAACAGCATATGACAGTTTACTCCTATCCAACTAAAAAAGTATAAGATACAGGCAGTTCACACTCTTGAAAATCGGCATGGTAATCGCAACAAAAAGGTATATATATACTTTAAATCAAGAGAAGATATGGCACAAGTTCAAGGTGCAGGCCTGTATTATTTTAATACAGTACTAGACTAGAATGGCGAATTCTGGCAGAGGTGTATGAAAGAGAAAGCTATACAAGTAACAGGCTATATAAAGAAAATTCTATCTCTTAAGCTATAGAGTTTGTGTAACAATTTTAGCTTAAAAATAGCATAAATTTAGTTATGATTTATTTTTTTTAATAT